CCCTCGGCTACCACCGTACTGCCTCCCACCTCGTCCTGAAACAACGAAAACCACGCCACTCTTACTTCTCTTTTCCTTCCCTGTAATCTCGGATATTGTTAAATTACAGCCTCCGCGGCGCGCTCATTTCCGATTGCTTATGAGATCGCTCTCGACACCGCGTAATTTCGTGAATCATCCTTTTAGTGCCGGACGCGAACGCGGATCTCCGGCATGCACGCGCTACGCTTACGCGACCTTATCTCGCGGTTATCCGCCCGACGATTCGCCATTACGCGCGTTCAAAGGATCCGCGTCATTAGTCCAGAGTCTCGGACAAGACGGAGAGCAACTTCGCCTTTTACGCCTGTAGTTTCTTGCTTACCGAATGGATGCGACGAACCAGAGACGCGACAAGGGAACAGCAGGACAGTTGAGCTTTCGATCGGCCAACAGGTCGATATCGACCTATGTAACGAAAAACAGAACGCGACGTCCACCGTTCGCGAAAACTCGCGTCGCGGTCGCAATAAATCACGATTAATGCGTCCGCGCTTTTTTTTCGCCGACACGGTACAGGTTGACCGCCCGTCATTGAGCTTCGTGTAGCCATTAAATAAAAGGTGAGACGATCGCGCGATCGATCGATTTCGCTTACCGAGATGGCATCGATGGCACGAATCGAGCGTGGCTGCGCGATCGAATAGACGTTACGCCGCACGTGTCGCTGTGAACGATGACGTTCGATTTCTCGCCTCGAACGACTTTTCGCATATTCATTAAAATTGGAAGACACCGTTGAAAGGGGAACTCGTCGATCGCCAGATCGTTCAAGCGTAGTTGGCTAAGTCGATCGAAACTTGTCGAAGGATAAGAATTCGTGTAATTAGACCCCCTTACACGATAACTTAGCAATAAATAATATTAGTCGATTTATAAGTTGCAGATTATAGGTTATGGGTTTGGATTTTTACAATTTTACAATCTTATATCGAGTCAGGTAACCAGATTTATTTGTTTTTATTCATTTCTAACTTTCCTGATAATAATTTAATAATTCAATGGTGCAAAACCTAGACTTCGTATAGGTTGTATAACTATCGGTTCAAATAATAGAAATTATGTCTCATACGTGGATTCGATATATAAAAATTCACGTCTTCAAAAATGTTAAAATTTCGTTCCGACGAATGGAAGATAATTAAAGATGAATGTGATTACGACGAGTAAGCGAAAGTTCCCACGCCGCTTACAGTTCCTTCTGCGGTGTGTTTATTTTAATGGAACCATGCACGGACCAGAGGACTCGTCTTGTTCGATGCGACAACGGCACTTTGTCATAAAACCACGTGCAAGTCGAGAGGTGTATCCAGCGGACTATTTGAAATTTAAATGGCGCGCGAGAGAGACAGACGCTGCGAGCGCATGAATCAACGTGTACAAACGACGAATCGAGCTGAACCCCCCGTTTTTCGGTGTAGGCGACTTTCCGTTTCTGACTGGAGAGAAGTTACAGGGGACCCGTCCAGGGACGCCATAAAACTTATAATATCGCCTGCCGCGCGTCCACTGCAACCCGCCTATGGCGAAATAATTGATCACCACGAAATCATTGTGATCGTGATATCCAGGATGTTTATCGGCTATTCTACGAAATTAGGTTCTCGGAAAGTCTAGCTATGAAATTAACGAACAATGAGAAAGATAAGTTTACGTACAATACACTGTCATTTGTCATCTCTGTCGTTTTTTCTATCACAGAAAAGAGAAACTACGTTATTCGTCAAAATAGTTACTTTCATATGCGCTAATCTCCTCTTAACGACTGTAAAGGACCATTCACAAAGTCTTTTTAAGCCTATACCGTTATCTGCAAAGTAAATAACTTTGAAACACGCACAGAAGCTACGTCAAAGAGGTTTTTCGCCTCACTGGTTCGTCGTTCTCGTAAGGCTAATATTTAGACATTGGATTTCGATCGACAAGAAATACCGCATAAGCGATCAAGTATTGTAATAAAAGAAATGATTCCTCCGCATATTTTGTATCTTCCATTCGTTGCATGTCGCATCGATACCCGAACGATACAGCAACCTACGTACAACAAGATTCCGGTGAAAAACTAGAGAAAACTCGTAACTCTATAGGTCGTAAGTAACCTCCCTCTTTACCATTCTTTCCATAAACTGAAACGGCTCGAGCCGC